CCAGCCTTCCAAGTAGCTGGAATTACAGGCATTCGCTACCACGCCTGGCTGATTTTTTGATTTATTGTAGAGATGAGGTCTCGCTGCCCAGATGGGTCTCGAACCCGCAGGCTCAGGCAGTCCACTCACCTCAGCCTCCCAAAGGCGCGGGATTACAGGCTGAGCCACCGAGCCCGGCAGTATCATATCCTCTTCTACTCCATTTCTGCTTTTAGTTCTATTCTTCACCTTTAAATTATACTGAGCAATATTTTTTGTTTCCTTTCCTAGACATTGTGAAGTGAGAGGATGGCTGTCATTATCATGAGCTTTTTCCAGGGAGATGTGAAATATCTTTGGATGTTTTATTACTGCTTGGGATGTTCAAGCTCCTGATTGACTTCTTCTTGTTTTTGAATTCCTTGTTTTTTATCCTGGAGGCCCGTTTGTGGTGAAAAGGCATTAATGATTAGTAATATGGTATCTAAGTCTGTTCGTGCTGCTATCACAAAACACTACAAACGGGTAGTTTATAAACCACAGACATTTATTTCTCATAGTTCTAGAGGCTGGGAAGTCCAAGTTCAAGGCATTGGGAGACACAATGTATGGTGAAGGCCTACTTTTTCTTTCTTTTTTTCCTTTTTGAGTTGGAGTCTCACTCAGTCGCCCAGGCTGGAGTGCAGTGGCACACTCATGGCCACCCCAGTGTCGACCTGCTGTGCTTCATCGATCCTTCTGCCTCAGCCTTTCAAGTAGCCAGAACTACAGGCGCACGCTACCACCCTGGCTAATTTTTTTTGATTTATTGTAGAGACAAGATCTCTCCAAGTTGCCCAGGCTGGTCTCGAACCCGCGGGCTCAGGCAATCCACTTGCCTCGGCCTCCGAAAGTGCAGGGATTACAGGCTGAGCCACTGAGCCTGGCCCTGCTTTTTCGGTGCTGTCTCACTGTGTCCTCATTTGGTAGAAGAGGCAAAGCTTATTTTGGAAGCTCTTTTATGAGGGCACTAGTTCTGTTCATGGAGTCTCCATCCTCCTGACCTAATCACTTCCCAAAGGACCCCACATCCTAATACCATCACCCTGAAGGTTAGACTTTCTACGTATGAATTTGGGAGGTGGACACAAATCATAGCATATGTTTTTTCTGTCTTCTCTTAAAGGCATCGTAGAAATGACTAGAAAGCAGAGGAAACCATGAATGAAAGATGCTCTTTTTGTATTTCTCCTACTTTCAATCCCACTTAATGTGTTACATATTCTTTCCTCTTACATTTACTTCTCTCCCTACCACTTACGGTTTTTGTTTTTGGTGCCAGTGTCAGTTGCCAATCCTTATGTATGTTTTTTTGTTTGTTTGCTTTGAGTTGGGGTCTCACTCTCTCATCCAGGCAGTGGCACAATCACGGCTCACCACAGCCTTAACCTCCTAGGCTCAGGAGATTCTTCTGCATCAGCCTCTCAAGTTGCTGGAACTATAGGCATTTGCCACCATGACCAAATAATTTTTTTTTTTTTTTTTGTAGAGACAAGGTCTTACTGTATTGCCCAGGCTGATCTTGAACTCCTGGGCTCAGGCAATCCTCCCACCTTGGCCTCTCAAAGTGCTGGGATTACAGGTATGAGACACTGTGCCTGGTGGAAGCTGTGCTTTTTTTTTTTTGAGTTGGAGTCTCACTCTGTCATCCAGGCTGGAGTGCAGTGGCATGCTCACTGCCACTGCAGCCTGGAATTGATGGACTCAGGTGATCCTTCTGCCTCAGCCTTCCAAGTAGCTGGAACTACAGGCAGGTGCCACCATGCCCGGCTAATTTTTAAAAAATTTATTGTAGGATGAGGTCTTGCCAAGTTGGTCTTGAACCCATGAGCTCAGGCAGTCCTCTCACCTTGGCCTCCCAAAGGACTGGGATTATAGGTATAAGCCATCACGCCCAGCCTGGAAACTGTGCTTTTAAGGCATGTTTCATACAACCACCTGTGCTTGGCTTCTAGTCAGTGAACTGTGAGGGACACTAACCATGCAGAACTCCTGGGAAATTCAATGCAAGAGGTTTATGAGTGAGTTCAGTGTGTTAAAACTATTAGATTTAGGTGTGGGTAGCATTTGTTCCATTTTTATCAGAACCGCTGATATGCTTTTCTTTTCTCCCCAGAGAGTTAAAATTCCTGATCTGTGCTTCTTTCAGCAGGTGTCATGGAGGCAGATTCTTTCTGCTCGGTAACGTAAAGATGCCTTGAAGTGAGTCTGTCTGGGTAATATTTCTGAAGTTTTGTTGTAAACCTGGACATCTAGGGACCCATTTCTTCCTATGGCCCTGCATTATGAGGCACTCTGAGAACAAAGTGATTCTGAGTATAACAGCTTTCAAGAAGTGACAACATCCTGAATCATACCTTTTCTCTCTTAGGCAACAGTTACAACATTCCACAAATCAGCTTGCCAAGGAAACAAATGAATTGCTGAAGGAATTAGGGTCCTTGCCCCTTCCCTTATCTACTTCAGAACAGGTTGGTATTTTCCATTTTGTTTTTTTTCCATTTGTTTAGGAAAGGATTTTGTGTTAGTTGATAGGCAGTATGAGGGGAGACCCCAAAAACACTGCAATTTATTAAAAATTGTATATTTATTCTTACATGTTTAAACTTTAGTCACCTTCAAAGTACTTTCCAGAGCAACCCCTTCGGGTCCCCTTCCACTGTGGGAGCTTTTCTGTCCTCTCAATAAATCTTGCTTAAAAAAAAAAGAAAAGGCCAGGCTCGGTGGCTCAGCCTGTAATCCCAGCACTTTAGGAGGCCGAGGTGAGTGGATTGCCTGAGCCTGCAGGTTCGAGACCTGCCTGGGCAACTTGGTGAGACCTCATCTCTACAATAAATCAAAAATTAGCTGGGTGTGGTAGCGCGCACCTGTAGTTCCAGCTACTTGGAAGGCTGAGGCGGAAGGATTGCCGGAGCCCAGCAGGTCGAGGCTGCGGTGGCCGGGAACGGCCACTGCACTCCAGTCTGGGCGACAGAGTGAGACTCCAACTCAAAAACAAACAAACAAAAAAAGTCCTCTGTTTAATACAGTATACCTATCGAGATGTTTTTTCCATGCTGAAAACAGTTTTTGAACTTGTCAGTTTTGATGCCTTTTAGCACTTCTGCCATTTTGTTTCACCCCCACATCGGTAAAACATTTCCCTTTGAGGACTTTTTTCCATAAGGGGAAGCAAAAAAAAGATCAGGTGAATAGGGAGGGTGGGGCATGGGGGGTTCATGACATTTTTGGTCAAAAACTGCTGCACACTCAATGCAGTGTGGGCAGGTGAGCTTGTAAATCATGTGTTGAAAGAATCTCCAAAAAAATTCACCGAAGCCAAATGCAGCCTCTCACAACAATGCTAGCTGGTGTGCTGATGCCAATGGGTACCTAGAACACTTATCTAGCGGGGAAGCCTGTACTACATGGGACCTGCTATCCAAAAGATAATTTCAGGTTTATTTGGGGTTCCCCTTGTATATAGAACAAAAATAGTGCTAGGTAGAGCTTCTCTGAACCTCAATTTCCTTAACCATAAAGTGGGGAACATGTACCTATTGTGACAATAGAAAGAATATATGCACCAGATGTGACAAAGTGCCTGGTATTTAGTAGGTACTCAATATATGTTGGCTACTGCTCTTACTAATAATATATTATTAATGTGTTAATAAAATGGGCTTAACTGAAGAGGAATCTGTTTGCATCTCTTTGGGATTTGGTTAGCAACTTTATGTTTGTAGATTTGGTCTTAGTTTGTTTTTATCTGTTGTCTATAAATTTTTTGTTTTGTTTTGTTTTGTTTTTGAGTTGAAGTCTCACTCTGTCGCCCAGACTGCAGTGCAGTGGCCGCTCCCGGCCACCGCAGCCTCGACCTGCTGGGCTCCGGCGATCCTTCCGCCTCAGCCTTCCAAGTAGCCGGAATTACAGGCATGCGCTACCATGCCCAGCTGATTTTTTGATTTATTGTAGAGATGAGGTCTCGCTGCCCAGACGGGTCTCGAACCCGCAGGCTCAGGCAATCCACTCACCTCAGCCTCCCAAAGGTGCGGGATTACAGGCTGAGCCACCGAGCCCAGCTTATTGTCTATAAATTTTAACCAAATGTCTTTCTTTCATATTTTGTGATCATCGTCATGTCCCACCATGAGTTATTTACAGGTCTCAGGTTAAGGAAATGCTCAGTAAAAAGATTTCTCTTTTCAGTGGCTATTTACAGTAAATCCTTGAAAAACTCGCAGTTTGTTCCCTTAATATACCATGTCTTTTTTCACACATTCCTAAAGTCTGATGTGTCCTCTCCTTATTGTGGCTTGGCTTTTGCACCTGTCATTCATGGGATGCCTCAGATCTCTTCTATGAACAAAGCCTTCTCTGTCTATCTTAGCCTATTGTGAGTCTTTTTTTTTTCTTCTTTTTAAGAGTCAGGGTCTCTGTCCCCCAGGCTGCAGTGCGGTGGAATGATCATAGTTTACTGCAACCTTGAACTTCTGGGCTCAGGTGATCCTCTTGCCTTCCCCTCCTGAGTAGCTAGGACTATAGGTGCATGCTACCATGCCCAGCTAATTTAAAGAAAAAAAAATTTTTTGTCGAGACAGGGTCTTGCCATGTTGCCTAGGCTGGTCATGAATTCCTGGCCTCAAGCAGTCCTCCTGCCTCAGCCTCCCAAAGTGCTGGGATTATAGGCATGAGCCACTGCACCCAACCTTGTGATTCTGTTTTATTTTTAGGTTATATACTATTTATGGGAACACCTAACTTATGTTGCTTTTATTATTGAACTTTTAAAATGATGATGTTCTATCTCTGATGGCTCTGAAAGCAAAAAAAACCACAAAACATGTGTGTGTATATGTTCCTAGGACATGATGTCAAATTCTTACTGTGAGTCTCCTTCAAAAACTTTGAAAAGCATTAGTGTTAAACTGGCAAGCTGTTCTGTGTAGCATAAATTCAATCTGGTGTTTTTGCTCCCCCGCCCCACTTGTATAAAAGAGAGGAAGACTAGATGCTTTGTCACCCTGCCATAAAGTAGTTAACCTTTGGTTATCTATATATGGGCTGTTAGTTTTAGTTGTTACTCATGCTGACATTTCAATTATGGGCCAGTTCCTGCCTGCCATCCAGTATCTCCAAATTGCTCCCAAATCACCCCTTTCCTTTTCCCAGCTGTGCACTTAGTGAGTATATACTTGTAGATAGTTTTCATAGTAATAAAAAAGGAATCTAAGTGTCTGATGCTGAGTACTGGAAGTAGTTAAGAGTTTAATAGTAGCCTAAGCAAAATATAAAGTTAAATCTGCCACCAAAACAAAAGTCACCAAATGTCTTCCTAAACCAAATAGGAGTTATTTTTGGATTATGCATGCTATCATTCCTGTCCATTATCTTGGATCATTAAAATCTCAAAGACAATCTACAAACATACTCTCTGGTGAAATACAATTCCTTGATTCCCTTCCTCCTATTGTGCTGAGTACCCTTTTATCTTTTTACTCTTTTCTCATTTAATTAATCTTAGCCACATCATCTTTTCACTACTGCCCTGCACATCAAACCATTACTCTTACTTTCAGTTTTTTCCATACTTATGTACTGTCATCAGAGATCTAGTTAAAAATCCAGCGGCTTTTTTTGAGTTTTTTTTTTTTTTTTTTTTAAGAAGCAGGGTTTTTCTCTGTTACCCAGACTGGAGTGTAGTGGTGTACTTACAGCTCACTGTAGCCTCAAACTCCTGGGCGCAAGCCATCCTCCTGCCTCAGCCTCCAGAGTAACTAGGACTACAGGTGTGTGCCACTGTGCCTGGCTAATTCTTTTGTGAGTTTTTATTCACTTTTCTTCTCTCTTTCCTTTGATTCTCTTGCCCATCCTGTCTCTGCTGAAACATTCTTCTCTCCATGAGTCTCTTTCCTTCTGTCCCCCAACTCTAGAGATCCCTGGTTGAGACTCCGTCTTCTTCCCTGCTACTATAGCCTCCTAAAAAGGGGCATGCCCTCAGGCTCTGCCATTGATCTGTTAATTTTTTTACTTTAGAATTTCTCCCTCAGGCATCTTATCTACTTTTATAATTTCCTTTTATCTTTATGATCATGACCTTCAGATCTTCCAACCCTAGTCCCTAAGCCTCTAAGTACTTGGTCCATATCACTAAGCTTCTAAGTACTTGGTCCATATCACTATATCCTGTTCTGACATCTCCTGAATATACTACCTTCACTTAATATTTAATGTGTTTTTTACTGAGTTTCTCATGTTTAATCCAAACAAGTATTGTTAATTGACAGTACTTACCATCACAAAACAGTTTGTGCCTCTTGACCTAATAGTCTCATTGATGCAAATCTGTCTTAAGGAAAAAAAAAATTCTGAAGGAAAATAAAAGGCAACTGTATGTTGCCTCTGGAGCAAATTTCCTGGATTTAAATCCCATCTTTGCCACTTACTGTGTGGTCCTGGATAAATTGCATCTCTCTGTGCTTCAGTTTTCTGATCTGTAAAAGAGGAACTATAATAATACCTAATTGGGCCGGGCTTGATGGCTCAGCCTTAATCCCAGCACTTTGGGAGGCCGAAGCAAGAGGGTTGCCTGAGCATGCAGGCTTGAGACCAGCCCAGGAAACTTGGTGAGACCTCCTCTCTACAATAAATCAAAAGATTTGCTGGGTGTGGTAGCGCACACCTGTAGTTCTGGCTACTTGGAAGGCTGAGGTGGAAGGATCGTCAGAGCCCAGCAGGTCAACACTGGGGTGTCAGAGAATGTGCCACTACATGCCAGCCTGGGCAACAGAGTGAGACTCCAACTCAAAAAAAAAATTAGTAATAATAATAATACCTAATTGATATAGGTTGTGGTATAGATTAAATGAGTTATAATATAAAGCACTTACTACAGTACAAGGTAAGTACCATATAAAAATTAGCTGTTACGGGCTGGGCTCGGTGGCTCAGCCTGTAATCCCAGCACTTTGGGAGGCTGAGGTGAGTGGATTGCCTGAGCCCGCGAGTTCGAGACCCACCTGGGCAACTTGGCGAGACTTCATCTCTACAATAAATCAAAAATTAGCCAGGCATGGTAGCGCGCACCTGTAGTTCCAGCTACTTGGAAGGCTGAGGCGGAAGGATCGCTGGAGCCCAGCAGGTCAAGGCTGTGGTGGCCGGGAGCAGCCACTGCACTCCAGTCTGGGCGACAGAGTGAGACTCCAACTCAAAATAAATAAATAAATAAATAAAAAATTAGCTGTTACAATGGGGCTCACTTTAGCTTTATTTATATTAGTCAAAAACTTGGCTGGGCATGGTGTGGCTCATTCCTGTAATCCCAGCTCTTTGGGAGTCTGAGGCAGGAGGACTGCTTAAGCCCAAGAGTTTGAGAGTAGCCTGGGCAACATGGCAAGATTTTGTCCCTGCAAAATAAAAATAAAAAACTGGGAAGAGTATCTGGAAGAAATACTCACTCTGTCGCCCAGACTAGAATGTAGTGGCACGCTCCCAGCCACGGCAGCCTCGACCTGCTGGGGTCCGGCGATCCTTCTGCCTCAGCCTTCCTAGAAGCTGGAATTACAGGCACGCGCGACCACGCCTGGCGAGTTTTTGATTTATTGTAGAGATGAAGTCTTGCCAAGTTCCCTGAGTGGGTCTCGAACCCGCGGGCTCAGGCAATCCACTCACCTCAGCCTCCCAAAGCACTAGGATTACAGGCTGAGCCACCGAGCCCGGCCAATTTTTAAATTTTTATTGTAGAGACGAGATCTTGCCAAGTTGCCCAGGCTGGTCTTGAACCCCTGGGCTTAGGCAATCCTCTCGCCTCTGCCTCCCAAAAGTGCTGTGAACCACCTCACCTGGCCTAATTGTGTTTTTACTGATTATTCCTGCCTCTGAACTCCTGTAGTACTAACTGGATATAGCAATTATATATAATGACATTGTTACTTGTCTGTCTATATCCTTTATCTACAAATAGATGGTAAACAGTTTGAAGTCAGGAATGAGTTTTTGCTTCTTTGTTCTTAAGACAGGGCAAGTGCTCTCAATTTTTTTTTTGAGATGTAGAAGTAACAAACTTACGAAAGGTAGCTTGTAAATAAACAAAGCAGTTATCAAGGTCTCAAAAAAAAAAAAAAAGCTCCTAAAAAAAGGCCTGTAAAATAATTCTGTGGTTTTCAGGAAAGCTGTGAACTCAGTATGAAATGAATAGAATTTTATCATTTGAGCAAGAACCAATATCTTATTTGGGTCTATTCTGAGTCCAGAGGTATTTATTCTGCTTTTAGGTTCTCCAGAGAACCAAAATTCTGAATTGCAGTTTCTTCTGAGATTACTTTGCAAGGTCAATGAAACCCAGTTCCCAGGTTTGTCAGAACGAAAGAAGGAAAATTCTAACTTGGTCTGTAGACCAAGGTGGGTTTGAGCTAGCAAAGAGAAAATTTATTAACTTAAGGAAGTACATATTTCATAAAAATTTTCCTAGTTGGAAATCTTTAAGGAATATAATTTTGCTTTTAATGGGAATTAAAACCAAATGATTCTGGGTTAATATGAAATTTCAAGTTCTTGCTTAATTTCCTTAGCGCCAGCAGAGACTTCAGAAGGAACGCCTCATGAATGACTTCTCTGCAGCCTTAAACAATTTCCAGGCTGTGCAGAGAAGGGTATCTGAAAAAGAAAAGGAGAGTATTGCCAGAGCAAGAGCTGGATCTCGTCTTTCGGTAAGTTGACTCCCAAAAGAAGATCTTTGCAATTTTGGGATGTTCTTTCTTAAGTTTTTTTTCTTTTTCTCCTTGACTGTTAGTCTTTGTTTACTATTATCCCAATAATAAGCATGTATGTCAGCTGCTGTGAAAATGTCAGATTGGTATAACCTATGTAAAAAAAATACGTATGTCTGCGGTCAAGGACTAGAAAGGAATATACACAAAGATTAAAAAATATAGAAGGAAGAATTATGTGTCATTTTCTTTTTCACTTTGTTATATTGGTCTTATGTTTAAAAACTCAAAAAACAAAAAAAGAATGAATCTATTTCCTATAACAGGCTAGTTTATTTGGATTATCCCTCTCGTTTTTGAAAAGAATGATCAAATACTGGATTTAAAAACCCAACTTCTCAAAATTATCAACGAACTGTGAAAATACTAAGGTCAAATCTAAGAGAGGTAAGCAGAATACTGAAACTGCTTTGTACTGAGTATGTTTACTGGAAGGCAAACTTGAACTTCGAATTTCATGTCCTCATGGCATGAGGAAGATAAAAGTCAAACCCCAGGATAAAAGTCAAAGCACAAGGTGGAGATTATAAAAGAAGGCAGTCTTCAAATTGAACTGAACCCTAAAAGACTATATATCCTTAGAGTATAGTATAGCTAAAAGTAAGTGCTCCTTTCCTTCAGCAGATTGCAAAAATATTGCATCAGCACTGAACTGAGCAGATGATAGGATAGGAAGGAGGAAGAATCCAGACAATAGGTTGTACTACAAAGTAACCTTCAGGCAGCCATAACTTTGCAAATTTATCCTACCTGAATGATCCAGTGGTCCTGGACTGATAGAGCACCTACATGCCAGGCATAAACAAACACAGATTCTCTCTGTGGAAAGATACCTTTATCCTAGCCCTGAAAAAAAATTCAAACAAAATTTCCCTGTGTACACAAAGAGACAAATTACTCTAAACAAGAATTAGTAGAAACAACAGTGAAGTGAATGTGACTACAAAGACTTTGTGTACTAGAAGATACCTATACTTACGGTGTTTAAAGAAATACAAGAAACTGGGCACGGTGGCTCATACCTATAATTCCATCACTTTTGGGAGGCAGAGGCGAGAGAATTGCCTGAGTCCAGGGGTTTGAGACCAGCCTGGGCAACTTGGTGAGACCTTGTCAAATCAAAAAATTAGCCGGGCATGGTGGCGCACATCTGTGGTTCCAGCTACTTGGAAGGCTGAGGTGGAAGGATCATCTGAGCCTAACAGGTCGAGGCTAGTGGCCATGAATGTGCCACTTCACTCTAGCCTGGGTGACAGAGTGAGACTCTGACTCAAAAAAAAAAAAAAAAAAGAAATACAAGAAAAACTTGAAAATATCTGCAGGAAACTACAGAAAGGTAAAACATGTCAAAAGAATTTCTAAAATTGAAAGATATAATATGAAAATTAAAAACTTGATGGGTAGTTTAACTAGAAAATTGGTTAGAAGATATTATCTAGCACGTAGCAAAGGGAGTTAAGAGATTGAATATTATGGTAAAAGATGACCAGAAATGGAGAGCTCAGTGAAAAGATCTAACATAGTTTTAATTAAGATTACAGAATGAGAATAGAGCAAAGACCAAGGTGATATTTGAAGAAATAGTGACTGATAAAATTCCAAAACTGATGAAAGACACTAGTCTGCAGTTTTAAGAAGCCTAACAAATCAAGCAGGATAAACTTTCTACTCTAGATACATCAAAGAGAAACTTCATAACACTAAGACAAAGACAAAATTATAAAAAATTTTGGAGAAACAATAGGATGCCCTCAAAGATGCAGTAGTTAGACTGACAATTGATATCTCAACAGCAACGGTGGAAGCCAGTAGAGTGCTAACTTGCATGTTAATGAGGGACAGAAACTGTCCATCTAGGATTTTAAATCCAATGAAAATACGTATCCAGAATGAGTGCTAATTAAAGACATTTTCAGTCAAAAGAGAGTCTCCTGTCACCACATCTAACTAAAGAAAATTCTAAAGAATGTACTTCAGGCAGAAGGAAAGTGATCTCAGATGGAAAGTCTGGAAAACAGAAAGAAATGAAGAGGAAAGAAAGTGGTAAATATGTGAAAAGACAAGGCACAGACAGGGAAAAGATACCGCTGTATGTTTAACTGACAAAGTACCTGTATTTTGAATATATATTCTCATGAATCAGTATAAAAAAGATACAACCCAATAGAATTGTTCTCAAACTTTTTGGTCTCAGGACCCCATTACATTTTTTTTTTTTTTTGAGTGGGAGTCTCACTGTGTCACCCAGGCTGGAGTGCAGTGGCATGTTCACAGCTACTGCAGCCTTGACCTCCTGGGCTCAAGCAGTCTTTCCACCTCAGCCTTCCAAGTAGCTGGAACTACAGTTGTGTGCCACCACACCAGCTAATTTTTCTTGATTTATTGTAGAGGCATGGTCTTGCCACATTGCCCAGGCTGCTCTCCAACCCCTGGGATTACAGGCATTAGCCACTGTGCCCAGCCCCCATTACATTTTTTTTTTTTTTTTGAGTTGGAGTCTCACTCCGTCGCCCAGACTGGAGTGCAGTGGCCGCTCTCGGCCACTGCAGCCTCGACCTGATGGCCTCTGGCGATCCTTCCGCCTCAGCCTTCCAAGTAACCGGAATTACAGGCATGTGCTACCACGCCCAGCTGATTTTTTGATTTATTGTAGAGATGAGGGCTCGCTGCCCAAGCGG